AGCACGAGGGGGGGCTGGTCCAGGAGGGAGCTGATGAGAATGAACTGGGCAGAGCCAGGGGGGAGGAAGAGGAGGAAGTCAGGTCCGGCAGGATGCCCAGCGGCCCCCTCCCCGTCTTGTCTGCTTTACAAGCCCCCCTCCCCACCATAAAATTCTTTTCTTCCACCCAAGGGGACATTTGTCCTTCCCAATAGCCTCTTCTTTTAGGGCCAAGTTTTGTTCCTAATTCACGGGGCATAACCACGCCTTTCCTCCTGCTCCCTCGCTCTTCCCCACATTTGGGGGGTGTTCAGTCAAAAGCATTGGGAGGGGCTGCGAACGCCCCCCCCCCTTGTGTCTCAGCCCGAGTCAGCGGGCGACATAAGAAGCCGTGATGGAGGAAGGGCCCGTTACGCACCGCTAAGGTGGCTGGACTGACCACTCTCCAGCACACTTGCCAGTACAGTCCCGGCCCAAAGCCCAGCATGGCCTTCACGTCGCTGCAGAACTGCTGCATTCCTAGGAAGGAAGTCCAAGCCGTTCGTCGCTGGGTTGCCGGCTTCGGTTCTGGCAAAGCCCAAACGTTCAAGTCTACACGAGTGACCTTTAAGGAGCTGGGCCCTCTCCCCGGGCCGTCGGGGGCAGAAATGCCCAGAGCAAAAGGGGATGTTGATTTTAAAGTCGGAAAGGAGCAGGAAGATTTGCAGAGACGATGGGAAGGAATTCTGCCGGGTTTTTCTCTGAAGGAGACCCATAAAGGGGCGGTCCCTCTACCAATTTTGGGAAAAGGTGCATCAAGCTGGCCTCGGAAGGTGGCACTGAAGGTCTTATAGAGGGTCTCTCCCCTCCCCCCCCAGGGGCCACAACGCATCTCCTCACCGTAGAACCAGGAGACGGCAATGGCTTCCAGGAACACCACAGCTAAGATGGAGTAACCAGCCCCAAACTCTTCCAGGAGTTTCACGATGTAGGGACCTCCCTGGATTGGAACACCAGTAAAGAGCCTGCTGTGAAACTGGGAGGGGAAGGGGGGCTCTGATAGGCTGCAAGCCCCCAGAAGAACTGGGTTAGGAGCAGCCCCTGAAGGTGGACAATACCACAACGCAGTGGTTGGCCTTTAGGGTGCCGCTCTGCCCTTTTGTGGTGGGTTCTAGTAGGGGGGAGTCCCACAATTAGCTCACTTGGGGGCTTCCATCTTGCTTCACCCCACCCCCATTATAGGAGCAAAATACACTCTCTACCTTGCGGGACAAATAGTCAACCAACAATATAGTCTGTCTCTTGCAAATACATACAGGAGAAGTGCTGTTAGCCACCCTCTGCCTGCAGCTGTTTCAGGGTCCTCCAATATCCCAGCTGGCCTTTCTTCTGCATTAACCAGAGAGGTGTGGCCTGGCCCTGAGATCAAGGGGTCAAGGAATGCCCGCTGTCCCCATAACTCACATTGGTCAGGGTGGCCAGGGAGCCCAAGAAGCAGACGGCGCTGAGTCCCAGCACAAACAGCTGACGATGCTCGCCCAGCACTTGGGGATACTCGTCCATCAGGGCAGTGATCACGGCTTCCAGGCCCCCAAACTGCAGATACCCCCCAGGAGAACCCAGTCTGAGGCAGAGGCAATGCCCTGGGGACTCTGCTGGGGAGGTCTGGACACGCAGGGCTGCTCCGTTCACTTCAGAGCAGTTCTGCCCTTCGAAAAGGTTGTGGACATTGAAGAGGAAACAGCAGACTGCTTGGAAAGCAAATTGGGAGGTGCAGACTGTTTTCTCCACAATTTCTGCCTTGGAAATATTTCCACATGGGGCCTCTTTTTTAAGACAAATGGATGGGCGAGAGCCATAGTAAGGTACATCAGGAAGCAGCTTTCAGGCAGCACGTAACATGGAGCCCGACCCTGTTGCAGGACAGCAGCCGAGAGAGTCTCCTGGCCTGGCCTTACCGTGCTGTCCAGTCCCAGCGTGATCATCATGAGGAAGAAGAGGACGGCAAAGAAAGAGGATCCGGTCATGTTGGCCAGGGCTTCCGGGTAAGTGATGAAGAGGAGGCTGGGCCCTGGAAGAGACCTTGGGATGGCACCACAAGCAGGCTTGATTCTGCACGCAGCCGATGGGCCAGAGGGAGGCTGTGCCGGAGCATGGCATTCTCGAGAGAGCTCCCTGGGGCCTTCCCTGCCACCCACCACCCCCAAACAAACTCTTGGGTAGGTGCAGCGAGGGGACCAAGCGGGACCTGCTGGCTACAACGGGACCGAGGTGCAGGGCTGGCTTTCTCCAAAGCAGGGAGCCAGACATAAGCCAGCCCCCTTGCAGCTGAGAGTGCCCCGTTCCTTGAATCCAGATTTAATTCAGTAAAGTCTGGTTTAGGTCATCTCCGGCAAGCCTCTCCTGAGAGCAACGGGGCTCCCTGAGCAGGTGAGGAAGCGTTGCCCGCTCAGCCCAGGGACTGGGCCACTCTTGGTCCTCACCAGGGGAGGAAGCTGTTGCAGCCCCTTTGGCCCCCGTGGGGGGGGAGCGGCTGAGGCCCCCAGGAGGCCATCACAAACCTTGGTCCTTCGCAACGTCTGCAACTTCCATGTGCCGCATTTCGGCCATGTAGCCCAGGACGGTGAAAATGACGAATCCCGAGAGGAAGCTGGTGAAGCAGTTGACCAGGCTGGTCAGGATGGCGTCTCTGGAAAGGAGTGACAGAGCCGTGAGTCCCCCAGGCGGATGTGCCAGCCTCCTTGAGAAAGAAGGCAGCCGGCTGATAGCTGGGACCCACTCAGTTTCTCCACCTTGGGATCCGCGCACTGCCCTCTTCTGCAGCCCTGCACTCCTCTTTGCCCCCCAGCCCAGCAACCCACCTGGGGCTCCCACCTGGCACAGGTGCAAAGCGGCGCCCTGGCACCCTGGAAAGCCCGGTCAGGCTGATCCCCTCCCAGCATCAGCCGCCCAGACGTGCAGCCACCCAGCAGAGCAATTCAGGGGAGAAGCCAGAGCTGCTGGGCCTTGAACCCTCACCGGTAACAGTTGTTGTTGAATGGGTTGTAGCTGGCCAAGGCAAGAAGGACTCCAAATCCTGGGCCCAGGGAGAAGAAGATCTGGGCAGTTGCATCCACCCACACCTGAGCAGAGGAAGGCACAGTGGAGCCATAAGGTCCCCCTTGGAGGGAAGAGGTCCGTATTCCGGCTGGCATGGGCTCCTGCAAGGCAGGTGCTCACCTGGGACAGGTGTGGTAGGCCGAAGGAGGGCACCAAGAAGCCCCTTGGAGGTTCTGGCCAATCTCTCCCTCTCCGCCTCCCCCTTGGCGGTCATGAAAATGCATCAATGCGTTGGGAGAGGTAATTATGGGCAAGAAGTCCATTGTCAATTGGACGCCCTAATCAGTTCCCAGCAGGCGGCAAATGATATGTGTGATTCAATTCCTGATTTGCATTTCAAAGGGTGCCAAAGAATAGCAAAGGGGGAAAGAGCGGCTCCCCCCTCCCCTCCCTCCCTCCCTAACTGGCCTTCTGATCTTCTATGTGAGGAGGGGGAGTTGCTGGATTGGGGGCCTCTTTCTTGTGGATCTGCAGGAGAGGGAAGGGTGGGGAGGAGGACCCACGGGGGGGGGCAGAGCCTAAGCAAGTGGCCCTTTGAAAGAGTGGCCCTTCACACACAGCTCCCAGCAAGCCCTTGTGGGGAGGCAGCTAACTGGAGTAAAGGCAGGGAATCTGGGATCAAGTAGATCTCAACAGTACTGAAGGGAGAATGAAGGTCTGGCTTCCTTCTGATCCCCTTGGAATAGTCAGGATTGTGTTGGAATTGGAGAAGGGCCACTGCTGGGCCAGCCAAAGTTGCGGGTGGGCCCCCACTGCTCTGGGTCAGCTTCCCGACGCAGCAGAAGTGATTTTGTTCCACTGACTCCTGCTGGGAAAAGCCAGATCTCTGTGTGCACTGAAATTGGGATGCTTGGTGTGTCCGTCCTGCATGATGGCTGGATGGAAACCTTCCGTGAGCCCCACATAGGGAAGAGGAACGAGCCCCTCTCTGCCTCTAGATCCCGGGTCCTTTTGCTACCTTCTCTAGTACAGCTCCTGTTGAATTTCAGCCTGGGGAGAAGAGCCTGGCAGTTACAAAGCTACGTGCAGAAACGTACAGCCACGCTCCTCAGCTTCTGCCAGTCGGGTCGCAGGTAAAAGACAATCCCTCTCCAGGCCCCTGGGAGGGTTGCCCCACGGATCAGCAGGATGAGCAAGACGATGTAGGGCAGGGTGGCTGTCACCCAAACCACCTGGAGGGAGAACCAGGCTGTGAGGGGGGGGGCTGCAGGATTTCGGCCAAGCGGATCCCCCCACCCCTGACCAGAGCCCCACAGACACTGCAACGGGGCTCCTGGCTGCAGGAGAGAGGCAGAGGCCCCACGCAGCCCGCACCTTCCCGGAGGTCTTGACCCCCTTCCAAAGGCTGAAGTAGACGATGGTGAAGATAAGGAAGAGGCAGAGCAGCAGCTGCCAACGGATCTCCCCCAAATCGGAGAGCCCGTGCGAATTCTGCACCTGCAGGACGTGCCTCCTGCAGCAAAGAGAAGCTCTGGGTCAGAGAGGGAAAGAGCGCCGGGAGAAGCGCCATTGTTGGCCAAGAGTCCCAGGAGGCATCCCAGAAAATTCGCCCGTGGGGATAATTCCATCCAGTGCCCGCAGTCTTGGCTCGTGCCATGCCACCTAAGAAACCGGGCCTGGCTCTGCTCCCCAAGTCAGCTGGCTCCTGTCAGGCCCCCCTTACATGTAAAACTCCTCGGCGGGGGACTTGGAGAGGTTGGTCCAGGATACGTTGCCGGCATCGAAGTAGCTGAGGCAGCTGGGGGTGTTCCAGGGGTTGCTGCAGCTGGCCCAGGGCAGGGTGGGGGCAAAGGAGGAGCAGAAGTAGAAGAGGGCCCAAGCGATGATGGTGTTGTAGTAGAAAGCCACGTACAGGTTGATCACGCAGATGGCGAACCCGATGCCTGCCGAAGGAGAAGACGGACAGGCAGAGGCGGCCCCCAGACCTTTATCCAGCCCTCTTCATCTCCAGGCGCCTCGTGGAAACCAACCAGAGGCCGCTTAACCTCCATTCCTCTCAAGCACCGATTCACTTACCCTGTTCCGGAAAAGCATTGAGACTGCCTCTCATCTGCGGGGGGGGGGAGCCCTGACCTCCTCAAGCCCCCTCTTCCTTGAGGGATCCTAAATCTTTAGGCAGCCGTGCAGCCGCCTGCAGGCGTCCTGCCCTCCTCCCCTTTGGAAGAGTTTCTGCCGTTCAGCTGGCTGGTTACCTTTAAAGATGGGGCAGATGTTCTTCCAGATGGGAATGGCTCCAACTCGGTGGAACTGCCCGAGGGCCAGCTCCATGTAGAAAAGGGGCACCCCTCCGAAGATGGCCATCAGCACGTAGGGGATGAGGAAGGCTCCTAGGAGAGCAAAGGAGAAAGAGCTGACCGGCAGGCTCACCACCCCCCCACTTGCCCTCACCTCCGCCATCTCTCTTGGGGAAAGCCAACTTCAACTAGTCGTTACATTAAGAGGCTTCATGAAGCTGCCTGGGTTCTCCCAGTGAGGTGCATAACAAATTCCTTTTGTCTGTTTTAAAGGAGTGGTCCCCACCAGTTCCTCCCAACCACTCCTTTTCTTAAAGCCCTCCAGCAGCCACTTGCTCACAGTTGAAGGGATCCACACTATCTTCTGATTTCTCTGCATTCATGTGGTCTAGAAACATGTACAATCATGGCACGTATTCTTATAGCACAGCCAAGGCAAAACAGAAAACCGGTGCAAGTTAAATTAAAAAGACGAGCTGAAAAGCACAGACACCCAGCAGCGAGGAAGGGGAACAGCCACCCGTATCCTGGGAAGACATTCGGAAAGATGCAGCTCTCCAGGCAAGACCCTGGCTGGGCGTCAGAACTGCCTTGCTCTGGTGGGGGGCTATTCTCTGCCTGGAATAAAACTGACTCTGAAGGGCCCCCACCAACTCCCAGAGGTGAACTGGAAATGGCAGTTCAGGATTTTTTCTCTCTCGCTCATTTACGCAGGGCATTCGGTCCCTTTTCTTACGCTTTTCCAGAATTTGTTTTAGAATGGTAAAACCTGTTTGCAATTTTACCACATTTTGGTTGATCTGCATTAAGCAGTGCCATATTTCAGGTTTTATTCTTCCAATGGGGCCAAAGAGAAACCTTATTGCCTACCAATGTCTGTTTGTGTGTGTGTGTGTGTCCCCGCAATGCATTTCAGTGAGGTTGAAAATAAATACCATGGACAGTTCCCCATCCCCAAAAGAGAGAAAGCCTTAGCGGCGGCTGTTTCTACCTTTATCCAGAAACTAAAATATTTGTGTGTGTCTGCGTGGAGGTTTCAGACCCAGGAAACTCTCCAGAAGAACAGAAGACTCTTCCTACAGTGGCAGACTTCTCCAACGAAGCTACATTGACACTTTCATGCTTAGGATTTCATTGGGAAACACCCCCCCCCCATTTTTCTGGGTCTTTCTTCCCCATTCTAAAATCCAGCCTTCCTAGTTGCACTGGCAGAGAAGAAGGTGATCTCTAGGAAGGAACGGAAGCAGAGAGACCCTCACCCAGAATTATAACCCCCTTGAGGGCTGCCAGGGAAGGGGAAGGGGCTCCTTGCTCAGGGTGGGAAGTTCACCTCTGTCTGCCCCAAATCCGTGCCCAGCTGACGGACCCCTCCTTACCCCCGCCATTCTGGTAGCAGACGTAGGGAAAGCGCCAGACGTTGCCCAAATCCACGGCGAATCCTATCACGGACAGAAGGAAATCCACCTTTTTGCTCCAGGTGTCCCGGGGGTCCCTCTGGTCAGGCAGAGAGCCGGCCCGGGGGGTCTCGGAGCCAGCCGGCCTGGCCAGGCAGGCAGTGGGAGAAGCGGACATCTCCCCCAGCACCCCAGCAGGGTCTGGGCTGAAGAAGTTGGCGGAGGGCAGGCACACCCGGGAGGAGGGCCAGTGCACAGGCGCTGGAAAGGTTTGCTCACTTCAAAGGGAGAAGGGCAGGGGGGAGGAGACAGAGGAGGAGCCCCCCCCCATTCCTGCCCTTGTCTGGCTCCAGGAGCAAGAGAGGCGCAAGGTGGGCGTGGGGCGTGGGTCTGCCCACACCCACAGCTGCGCAGCCTCTGTCCGGGGCCTGCAAGGCAAAATAGGTGGGTGACCTTTCCTTCTTCTGAGTGAGGATGGGGGTCTGGGGCAGCTATGGGGCTTGCCCAGCTTGAAGTTCCATTTCAGCCCCACAGCCTGAGCCCCTCCGAGCAGGAGGGCCGCTGTGCTTCTCCACCCTGCTGGGTCCCAAACCTGCGCAGACGTAACTCTGGTTCAGGAGCCAGGAGACCCTGGTCAGCCCCTGCTAGGGACAGGTAACCCCCAGAAAACGGAGTGTCTTGACCCAGGGTAGGACCGGGTCGTCCCTAACGGTCTCCTCTCGAACGAAAGAGGGAAAAGTCTTATTGTCTTAGCCTTCCCTGGAGCCTCCAGAAGATCAGGTTGGGGGACGAGTTCGTCCTCTGGGACCTGGTAAGTCCTGTTTACCGACGGGTTAGAGAAGACTTTTTGGAGTAGTGGCGGAGCACCCTCAACGCCTGGAGGGAGGCCTGGATGAGTTGCTCTTTCACGTCTGCTGACTGCTGGCGCTTTTCTCCTGCACAACCACCTTGTCAGGCAAGCCTTGGGGGCTGGGCTAGATGGGCTGTCCTTGGCGTCCATGCAAGGACGCCTTTCCAGTCGGGGACCCTCCTCGGACCCTGCTGGGGATCCGGAAGCTGCGGAGAAGCATCTGGAGACTGCCGGAGAAGGGAAGGACAAGGGCACCGGCTCCCCCTCCCCTCTGCTCCACCGGATGCTCACAGCGGCCTTGCTTTCTGGCAGCCCTGGACCAGCAGAGGAAGTGGAGCCCCACCGAGGGGTGGCTTGATTGCGCAGATGCCCAGGGCTCTCTGCTACGGCACAGGCAGCACCTTTTCACGCCTGGGCAGCAGCCGGCCATTCAGCCACGCCTGGGCAGCTGCCTTCCCTTCTCCTCTGCCACCTGTCAGCCGGATGTTCACGTCTCCCTTCAGCCTCACAGCGCCCATGTCTGAACGTGTCACTCAGAGGGGCAGGCCGGGGAGGTGATGCCCTCTTTCCCCCCCGCTGGGCTCAGTGGGATTTCACCGAGCATGAAACCCTCGGACGCCCCCGGAACGCTCTGCCCTGGTCAGCCTGGGCCCAGGCCGGGTCAGCTCAGCTGCCTTTCAGCCCAACCAGCCCCGGATGGCGGAGGCTTCCTTCACGCAACGCGATGGGATTGACAGGTGTGGCCAAGCGGATGGGCATTTGCCTGGGAGAAGTGAGTGGAGGGGGGGTGGGGGGGCACTGAGCAACTCAAGCTGAGAAGGGCAAAGGGCAAGAAAGCCCCCATCTCCTTCCGCCCTGCCCCCCCCAGATATGCCTGCCCTGTCCTGACACAGGTTGCCTGCCCTCAGGGGTTGCAGATACCTGGAGAGTCAAGTTTGGAATTACTGGGGGGGGCTGCCCTGTCCCTGCCCCTCCCCTGCAGCCCCGCCTGTCTGGTCCCCGGGATCCGCTCCCTGGGATCCGCTCCAGAATCAGGCAGAGGAAGGGGAAAGGCCGCGCTTGGCCCATGCGCTCCCCAAAATGAGGCTTAAGGAAGGGCTGCCCTCCCCTTGGGCGGGGGGGGGGGCAACACTAGGCTGCCCTCGAAATAAACTTTTTGGCCTTGCCCAGTTCGTTCCACAAACCCCAATCAAGGGAACCAACCAGGGCGCAGTCGGGGAGGGCGCAGGGACCCTCGATCTCCCTCCTCGCCCCAGCCTCGGGGGGCCGTCGGGAGGAGGGAAGGAGGCCGAGGCCGCCGCCGCCTCCTCTTCCACCGAAGCACCGAGGGCGGCGGGCGCGGGGAGCTCGGCCCGAGGGCGGGGCGGGGCGGGCGAGGAGGGAGGGGGAGGGGCCCGGCCGCCTCCGCCTCCGCCTCCCACTCCGCCTGCCCAGCCCGGTGCGCGTAGCGGCGGAGGCGGCGGGGCGTTGCCTCACCTCGCCTCGCCTCGCCTCGCCCGCCCTCCCAGCTGCGTCCCCGCCGCCAGCCAGCCAGCCAGCCGGGCAGCGAGCGGGCGAGCGGGATGGCGGCNCATTGGGGGTCTTTTGCCTCACAGAACTGGGTCCCATCCTGGCCCAGCAGGGATTGCCAGAGGAGAGCTTGCTTTCTCCCTTTTCAGAATAACAGAATCGGAAGGGACCTCGGAGGTCTTCTAGTCCAACCCCCTGCTCAAGCAGGAGACCCTGGACCATTCAGGACAAATGGCTGCCCAATCTCTTCTGAAAAACCTCCAGTGGCGGAGCACCCTCAACGCCTGGAGGGAGGCCTGGATGAGTTGCTCTTTCACGTCTGCTGACTGCTGGTGCTTTTCTCCTGCACAACCACCTTGTCAGGCAAGCCTTGGGGGCTGGGCTAGATGGGCTGTCCTTGGCGTCCATGCAAGGAAGCCTAGAGGGGCAGCTGCCTTTCCAGTCGGGGACCCTCCTCGGACCCTGCTGGGGATCCGGAAGCTGCAGAGAAGCATCTGGAGACTGCCGGCCACCGGCTCCCCCGCCCCTCTGCTCCACCGGATGCTCACAGCGGCCTTGCTTTCTGGCAGCCCTGGACCAGCAGAGGAAGCGGAGCCCCACCGAGGGGTGGCTTGATTGCGCAGATGCCCAGGGCTCTCTGCTACGGCGCAGGCAGCACCTTTTCACGCCTGGGCAGCAGCCGGCCATTCAGCCACGCCTGGGCAGCTGCCTTCCCTTCTCCTCTGCCACCTGTCAGCCGGATGTTCACGTCTCCCTTCAGCCTCACAGCGCCCATGTCTGAACGTGTCACTCAGAGGGGCAGGCCGGGGAGGTGATGCCCTCTTTCCCCCCCGCTGGGCTCAGTGGGATTTCACCGAGCATGAAACCCTCGGACGCCCCCGGAACGCTCTGCCCCGGTCAGCCTGGGCCCAGGCCGGGTCAGCTCAGCTGCCTTTCAGCCCAACCAGCCCCGGATGGCGGAGGCTTCCTTCACGCAACGCGATGGGATTGACAGGTGTGGCCAAGCGGATGGGCATTTGCCTGGGAGAAGTGAGTGGAGGGGGGGTGGGGGGGCACTGAGCAACTCAAGCTGAGAAGGGCAAAGGGCAAGAAAGCCCCCATCTCCTTCCCCCAGATATGCCTGCCCTGTCCTGACACAGGTTGCCTGCCCTCAGGGGTTGCAGATACCTGGAGAGTCAAGTTTGGAATTACTGGGGGGGGCTGCCCTGTCCCTGCCCCTCCCCTGCAGCCCCGCCTGTCTGGTCCCCGGGATCCGCTCCCTGGGATCCGCTCCAGAATCAGGCAGAGGAAGGGGGAAAGGCCGTGCTTGGCCCATGCGCTCCCCAAAATGAGGGTTAAGGAAGGGCTGCCCTCCCCTTGGGCAGGGGGGGGCAACACTAGGCTGACCTCGAAAGAAACTTTTTGGCCTTGCCCAGTTCGCTCCACAAACCCCAATCAAGGGAACCAACCAGGGCGCAGTCGGGGAGGGCGCAGGGACCCTCGATCTCCCTCCTCGCCCCAGCCTCGGGGGGCCGTCGGGGGGAGGGAAGGAGATCCACCCAAGCACCGAGGGCGGGGCGGGCGAGGAGGGAGGGGGAGGGGCCCGGCCGCCTCCGCCTCCCACTCCGCCTGCCCAGCCCGGTGCGCGTAGCGGCGGAGGCGGCGGGGCGTTGCCTCACCTCGCCTCGCCCGCCCTCCCAGCTGCGTCCCCGCCGCCAGCCAGCCAGCCGGCCAGCCGGGCAGCGAGCGGGCGAGCGGGATGGCGGCGGCTCCGGCTGCCCCGGCTCCGGGCTCCGGGCGGCGGGCTCCGGCGGCGGCGGCGACCGGGGGCTCGTCCGCCCTGCGCGCCCTGGCGCCCGCCTCGCTGCTGCTGCTGCCCGCCGAGGCCGAGACCCGGCAGCGCCTCCTGCGCACCGCCAAGAAGGAGGTGAGTCCGGGGGCTGGAGCGGGCGGCGGGGCCCGGGTGCTCCCCGCCGGACTGCTCAGCGCTGCGCTGCTCTGCGCTCCTCCCGCGCCCGGCCCTGCGCCAGCCTCCCTCCCTGGAAGCGCCGCGGCCTCCCTCGCAGAAGCGGAGCTGCCCGCCTCCCGGGCCGGGCTGGGCTGCCGGCCGCGCGACCAGAGCCACCTGCGCCCCGGGCGGCCCGGCCTTGCCCGCCTCCCTGGGCGCAGCGTCGTGGAGAGGCCCAGGCGGCTCTCCTGCGGGCGGCCCGGGAAGGGAAGGGAAGGGAAGGGCGCTGTGGGGAGCAGGGCTGGTGCCTGGCGCGGGGCTCCGGCGCGGGGAGGGGGCTCGAATATGGATCCCGGCTGAGCTCCGCTTTCCGCTCCGCTCAGAGGCCTTCGAAGGAAGCGCGGGAGGTGCCTGGCTGGCAGGTCGGGGGAGCCGGGCAGGGTCCCGGGCAGAGGGGCCAGATTCTGAAGGGGACGAGGGGGACGAGAGTACAAGAGCCGGAACTGTGTCCCACAATGAAATATACTGGTTTAAAGTTTTAAAAAAGTTTTGGACCAAAATCTGGTCCCAGGAAGAACCTCCCTGGGTTGCCCTGCCAACTCCATCCTGGTTGAGAGAGGACGGGGCCTGCTTCGCCCTGCATGGAGCCTGACTTGCCCCAGCTCGTGGCTGGCCCTGCTGATTCTGCCTCCGAGGTTTAAATGCCTTTTAATTCACTGGCCTGCCAGCCAGGAGCTTCTGCTATTTTTATTCATTAATGATGAACCGGGCACATTGTGCCTGCTCTTAAGGCCTATTCTCGGATCCCCTTTCTGGGGTGTTATTGATGGCCTGGAGTTGATCTGCAGCCGTTGATACTGTCCATCCATCTGCTTGCATTGTGGGCTTGAGGCTGGCAGAGGGGGATTAATTGCCAGCGCAGCCCCCCCCCCCCAAGCTCATTGGCTGCCAAGCGTTCCTTGCATGGGCTGCCTGTGGAGCTTCAGGGGGACTGCTGGAGAAGCTGGCGTGGAAATGCTGCTGTACATGGCTGGCCGATTTGAGCGATTGTTTTAGCCAGACAACGGGTTTCAAATGTTTACATTTTTAGTTCTTCTAAAGCTGCAGTGGGCAAACCCTATTATTAGAATTCGGCCACAGCCTCTCTTCGGATTATCCTTCTTCAGCAGGACCCCAACACTCCTCCTTACAGGAGAGCATCTCTGCTACTAATTGGTAGCGTCTTCCCGTGTCCTGCCGTGTCCCAAAAGACCCGGGGCTCTCAGGAGGCTGTAGGCCTGTAGGCCAGCTCCAAGCCGAGATCTCCTCTCAGCCGTGGGCCTTTGAGTGAGGTCCATTTCCCTTGGATGGAGAGGCCGATGAGGTTCCTGCATCCCGTGGAGATGGGGGTGGGTGGGGGCTGGTGAGTCTGCCTGGCTCTGACTAACCCAGCACAGAAGACCAAGAGCCCAAAAGGGCCCCTCCCTTGGAGGGCTTCTGAGAGGTTGAAATAGTCTCTGGTGCCATTTTCTCTTCTTTGGAAGATGGCAGCCTGGGCTTTCTGCTGAAGGAGCCCTCCAGGAAGCCCTCTTTCCCTGCCCCCCCCAACGTGGTGCCTCCAAGCCTTTTTTGGGGGGGGGTCCCATGTCCCTGGCTCTTCTTCCTATTCTTGCCTGGTGGTGCAGATTCTGGGTTGATGGTGTCGGCCTGTTTCCATGGGAACGGCCGCCTTCTGATGAGTCGGCGCCAGCCACACGAAACAGTCCAGGGCCCGGAGTGCCGGCAAGCGCAGCCCTCGGAGGAGGCAGGATCTGGAGTTGTGCGTCATGCTTTGCAAGAGTGTGCAAAATTCTGTGCTCGTGAGAGGCTTTGAGGAGAATCACGTCAAGCTAAACGACATCAGGCAGCCCCCCTTGCACCAATGTGTGCCCCCAAATCGCAGCCGTTTGTGGGCGTGTGGAGGCCCGAGATCCTGGACCGGCTGCTCCCTCCCTCTTACAAGTGCTTCGGATCTTTAGGTGCTGTGATTCTGAGCATTTTATGCAAAATATGGGACCCTGGAACTTCTCCCCCAACCCATTCAGGGCCTTGTAAGTTCAGCTCTGTTGGAAATTGGGGGGGGTCTGTCCTTGGGTGTCTCCTTGGGAGAAGGCTGGGAATCTGCTTCGCTTGTCCCTCAGCCAGGTTGTCATCGGTGTAATGCAGAGCAAACCAACTCAATGCTGGGAATACTGCAGGTGGCGTTCACTCCCTTTCGTCCCCCATTTTTTAATGAAAAGGATCTTGTTAAGTCCTGCGTCTGCAGGGGTGGCCTTTTGGCCTGCTCCTGCAGGATATTGGCAGTGCAGGCTGACCTACAAAGGCTTATGGATAGACTTGAAAGGGGATTGCATAAGCATGCCATTTGTTAACCAGGACAGCAAATGGCCAGGAAAAGAGTCCCCTTAAAGATCAGCCTTTGGGGCCGGCTAGACTGACACCCACAGAGCTTGGCTGACGTTAAAGCGCTTCTCTGAGGTTTCCTGCTGTGTTGTGTGTCTGGGGTGCAGAGCTGCACCTGCTTAGTTGCTTTGGGTTCATGTAACGGTGCCTCTCCCCCCAAAGGGTAAAAAGAGGGGCTCAAACATTTGCTCTTGCCCATTCTGGGGCCACAGGAGAGGGGCTGGCGCCCCTGGGCTGCAGGGTTGGCATGCCCCATTTGCCCTGACCAGCGAGAGTGGCCTTGCCCCAACCGGACCGCCTCCCTCAGGGATGTGTTTCCTTTTTTAAAAGGCAGAAGGGTTGATGGGGCAGGAAGGCCCCGGCCCATATCTAGCAACCTTATTCAGGTGTCTGTTTTGTGAGTGATTCCAGAGCAGAGCCGGTTGGGGAATGTGGCAAAACCTCCCTGGCAAGATTTAAGGCCATTTGGGCAGGACGGAGGTGCCGTTCTGGGAGATGGACAAGCAAGTTCCCGCCTGCATAGCTGATGTGCACCAGGCCTGGGAGAGGCCCCAATGCATTGCGCGAAAGGCCCTAACAAAATATCGTTAAAGGCCAGGCCAAGGAATGTCATAACTGGGTTGCAGTTTTCTCTGAGAGAGGCAGCTCACGTGTGGTGTGCGAGAGTGCTCTGAAGGGCCCCGGGGGGCTTTTCTGCAGGGAGGGTCTCGGTAGAGGCCAATTCCTTCCTGTTCAGGAAGCTGGAAAAATCGCAGCTCTCCGGGTCTTAGGCTGCCTCCTCTGCCCAGCGGCCATTTGCCTTTGGACTCTGGCCACTCGACTGGGAAGGGGATCGGATGGGGGTTCATCCTGCCGCATCTCGCTCGGATCTGGTGTGGCTTTGGGGGGGAATTTGCTGCTGGAGAGGCGATTGATGGCCCTGCGTGTTTGTGTTTGGTCCGAACGTCCCGTGCCTGCTCCTCCCTTCCTGTCTGCTGCTCCCTTTCGCTCAGAGTCCACCTCTGTCTCTCTTCCCAGGCAACAGAGGATTCAGCCTGGTGGAGGAGATGAGGGCCAGGGCTGCGGGGAAGCTCTCCAGCCCACGGGATGCTGAACGCCCCTCCCTCCCTTCCTCCTCTCCCTTTTTGCACCAAGGTTGCCATAGCAATGGGAAGGGATGCTGTGCCCGGAATAAATGGGAATAAATGGCCGGTGATTTTTTTTCAAAAGGAGCTGCGGAACCCTTGTGGGTGCATTTGGTTCCAGCCAGGTTGTGGTGAAACTGCTGTTTGCACTCCTGACTTTGCCTTTGAGCGTCATTCAGCCCATCAGGCTTCACTGGGTGAGAGGCGGCTGGTCACTTTTCCCCAAATCGCCCTTCCGGCACCTGTGTGACCAGGATCGATGCCTCAGCGGCCAGGAGGCTGCAAAAGGCAGGGGAGGACCCACTTGTTAATTTCCCTTCCTGCTGCTTAACGGCTTTAACTCCACTGCACTCTCCTGCAGCCACATCCTGCAGCCCATCTCAAAACAAGGGTCACTTCACTGCCATCTGAGGGGAGGCCTCCCCTTTGCTCCTCCGTTCGCCCTCAAGAGAGGGGTCCCGGGTTCTGCTCTTGGCCCGTTTTTCTCCCCTTCCGCTCTTTGGAAGGACTATATTTGATGCCGTTCTGAAACACGCCTGGAGAGAGAGGGTTTTGTTGAGTTCGCACATTGTCTTAATACCACAACATCATTTGTGTACTGTGGGTTTGAGCTTAGTAGCTGTGATTCCTTGAGCCAACTATGGTTTGTTGCAGTATGGGAGCGTGGCTAAAGTGGGGCTGGCTCGGTCTCTTTGCTGGCCTGTGTTCACAAAGCAACAAAGAGGGCTTGGACAGCAAATGACAGATTTTGCTAACAGGTTGGGAAAACAGGGTTGGGGTCCAGCGGTAGGAATATCTAGAGGCACCTCAGTTCTTGCATCTTCAGTGAGTGTTTTTCTCCTCAAATGTTGGCCTTAAATTTGGTTCAGCAGAGAAATATCTTTTCATTTATTAATTTTCTCGGAACGTCGTTTTTTGCAGGTAAAGCAAATAATGGAGGAAGCCGTCACAAGGAAATTTGTGCACGAGGACAGCAGCCACATCATTTCTTTCTGCGGTAAGCTGGATAGAGCCAAACCTTTTCTGTCCTTCCCGTCGAGAGGCCCATCAAGGAAACACGGGTGGTTTTCCACCTGGTAGGTGGGCATCCCTGTTCCCTGAGCTCCTGGCATTGGCTGCCAGGCAGGCAAGCAAGTGCCTTGCAGGCAAATGGTTGGCATCTCTGAGCTTGACCTGAAAATCAATGGCTCATTCAGAGGCCGGCGCAGACATGGACCGTGGTGCCTTCCTTGTTTCCTTTCGTGTTCTTTTCCGTGGACTAATAACTAAATAAACTGAATGTGAGGTGGACGCCCCTCGTGGGATCCGTCAATCGTCTCAAATTTTTGTTTTCGACTTATATTTTTCAATAACAATGTTAATTCTCGTGCCATTCATGACTTGTGTAACTTGCGTGAAATGTCCAGCTAGAGAGAGTCATCTTTTCACATTGCCCAGGAGGAGAAGCTGGGCAGGAAAGCAGCAAAGTGTGTGTGTGTGTGTTTGTGGGTCTTCCAAAGGCCTTAAGAAATGTTGGTGTGATCAGAAGGACAGCCAAGCTCTTAATCTTGTTCCACAGCCTTCGGGGGGGGGGAGAGAGTCTCCTGGAGGAAGCTGCTGGGGGGCCCAAGAAGTCGCCAGCCTGTCCAGAGGAAAAGGCAATTTCTCGGGGGGGGGGGCGCGTGAGGCTGGCAGGCTAAGGACGGACGTGGCCATTCCGCGCCTGATTTCACAAGGGGACCTTCGTCCATCAGCCAGATTCCTGGCTTCCGGGGGGCCTCTCAGACTTGGGGCTTTTCCTTCCAGCCGCTGTCGAAGGCTGCGTCCTTCACGGACTCAAGCGCCGGGCGGCCGGTTTCCTGCGGAGCAACAAGATCGCTGCCCTGTTTATGAAGGTGGGCAAGAGCTTTCCCCCCGCCGAGGAGCTCTCCCGCAAAGTGCAGGGCCTGGAGCAGCTCATCGAGAGCACGTGAGTCGCAGCTGCGCTTCGAGAAGGCGCCGAGGGAATAATCGGTTCGGCTGGTGCCGGGAGAGGCCTTGAGGTTCATTGTAGATTTGGTGGGGCACCTGTGTGTGTCAGCCCCATGTAAAAAGCAGGTTCCCCAAAGAGATTAAAAACTCTGATTTGGGGGGGGGGTGATGGTAAATGTGGGGCTCCTCCTTCCCTGCCTCCTTCCAGGCGAAACCAGGGCTCCAGCCTGCAGGAAGGCCCTCGCAAAGCTCCGAGGCCCCCCGGCCTCTCCCCGCAAGCCATCAAGCACCTCTGGATCCGGACGGCGCTCTTTGAGAAGGTCCTGGACAAAATTGTCCACTACCTGGTGGAAAACAGCAGGTGAAGGTCTCTGCCCTGGCGGTGCCACTTGGCGGGCACTCCTGGGCACTGCTGCCCTCTCGGCCGTTGGGCCGCTTGGACTCGCCCTGTGGCTGGGCCAGCCCAGCTCTGGCAGCAGCCCCCAAATATTCTGCAATATGCGAAAAAGTTGAAATTGGGGAGAAGGGCCTCTTCTTCCCGGGTCTATCCAGCCGTAACCCTCTTATGTCTTCCCCCCCCCCGCAGCAAATACTACGAGAAGGAGGCTTTGCTCATGGATCCGGTTGATGGGCCAATCCTGGCCTCTTTGCTGGGTGAGAGTCTGGAGGCTGCTGGGCGTCCCGGGGGGCTGCAGTCCACACCCACCCAGAGGGTCTTGACCTGTGAAAAGCTGGTGGGCTGAAGAAGGTGGGCACTCTCCGTAACCGGCCCTCCTTCCTTTTTCTGCGCCCGCAGTGGGTCCTTGCGCCCTGGAGTACACCAAGATGAAGACGGCTGATCACTTCTGGACCGATCCCTCAGCAGACGAGCTGGTCCAAAGACACCGAATCCACAGCTCCCACGGCCGGCAAGACTCGCCAACCAAGCGCCCGGCACTCTGCGTAGGTCTCGAGGAGGTTGGGAGCTGAGGGTCAGCGGGGCTGGGCTGCATCCTTGAACCAAGTAGCTCTGGGGGGAGGGGGGAAGAAGGGGCTGCCTGGCAAAAGTGCAAAAAAGGATAAAAAGAGAATACAGCAAAGCTCCAGTTCAGTCGGGAACATCAGCCTGGTTCGATTCGGGCGCCCAAATTGAATAGTCCAATTATTTGGACAAATAACTTTGCGCAGGGACAGCCATTTCCCCCTTTCGGTTTCCAGATCCAGAAGAGGCACTCCAGCGGCAGCATGGATGACCGGCCGACCCTGTCCGCCAGGGATTACGTGGAGTCGCTGCACCAGAACTCCCGGGCCACCCTCTTGTACGGCAAAAACAATGTCTTGGTGCAACCAGTGAGTAGCCCGGAAGGGGCCAGTGAGTAGCCTGAGCTCCAGCAGGCTTTGTGGACGCTTTGCCTTCCCCGAGAGCCTCCGGTGCCTCCTGCAAATTTGGGGTCCTGTTGTTTGTCTGTGGAGCTGAAAATTGAACCCTAGAGAAACAACATCGTAAATTGGTTCTGTCTCCTGTTTTCCCTCTCCCGATAGCGAGACGACATGGAAGCCATTCCGGGCTATTTATCCCTTCACCAGACGGCCGACATCATGACGCTGAAGTGGACCCCAAACCAGCTGATGAACGGCTCTGTGGGCGACCTGGACTACGAGAAAAGGCGAGTGTCCTTCCGTGCTCTTTTGCGCGACTTCCTCACAGCCCATCCAGCGCCTCTTTCCCGCTTTTGATGCGAGAGGAATTCACGCGCCCCGTGAATCTGGCTTGTGCTTCTCTCCGTGGCTCAGTCGGGTCCTCTGAATGCTTCAGCCCTCTGGGCGGGAGGGAGCCACTGTTAAGGTGCCCTTGCCAGGCGTTGGTTCTTCCCTCTGCAGCATTTACTGGGACTACGCCATGACCATCCACCTGGAGGACATTGTCTACCTTCACTGCCACCAGCAGGGTAAGGCGTCCCCTGCCCTGGTGTGGAGCTGGCCCTCCGCAGCATCCCCAGCTCTGGGGTTGCCCTCTCTTGCCTGGGCGCATTGAGCCCACTCCTGCCTTTGCTCGGGCGGGTCTGAACCGGGCGTGGGGAGAGGCCAGGCCTGCTTGAGGTAGCCCGCTTTCCCTTGGGCTCCCATTGGCCAAAGCTGTTTCTCACGCTGCTCTCCTCCTGCACGTCCTCCTCCCTCCCTCTTGCCAGCAGTAGACAGTGGGGGCACCGTGGTCCTGGTCAGCCAAGATGGCATCCAGCGCCCTCCGTTGAAGTTCCCGAAGGGAGGGCATCTGCTTCAGTTCCTCTCCTGCCTGGAGAACGGCCTGCTGCCCCACGGCCAGCTGGATCCGCCCCTCTGGTCACAAAGGGGAAAGGTGAGACTGGGTGGAGCTGCACCCTTGCAGCCGGGGGTGGTCTGAACGGGCTCCTCTGCACGTCATCCAAGATGCTGGCTCAAAAGCTGGAGCCTTTTAGGGGTGGCCTGAATTTCGGAGGCAGGAAAAACGGCCTTGGCTTTACCGGGTGCTCCGGGGCGTCAGCACTCCCCCCTGCTTTCATTGGGCTGGTCCTGATCCACCAGCAGAGCTGAGAGGTTTCCGCTCCTGTGCTTTGCTTCCCAAAGGGGAAAGTGTTCCCAAGACTGAAGAAACGCAACCTGCAGGGGCCTTCGGAGCCTTCCTCGGACAGGGAGGAAGAGGAGGCCACGGATTACGTCTTCCGCATCCTCTATCCAGGCATCCAAGACTTCGGTAAGGGTTGCTCGGCAACAGCAGCAGCAGAAGTTCCTTCCCCAAAGGTTTGCTTTCTGCACGTTGGGATACCTTACAGCCACACGTTTCAGAAATGCAATCCATTTTACTATTATTTTAATGCGAAATATTTCTGAAATTGGTTTTATTTTGTCAGCTGCCTGGAATGCATGGTACAGTGGAAAAAAACGGCATTGTTTATAATAACTTTCGGGGGAGAGAAGGCTCTCCAGTGGCAAAGCAGCCTAGGAGCATTTCATGGTCCAACTCAGCCCATTCATGCAGGGCTCCCTTGCAGAAGAGGGGACCTGTGAAAGCTGAGAGTCTGGGGTGTGTGTGTGTGTGTGTGTGTGTGTGTGTGGAGGATCAGAGAGGCCAGGAGAGCTTTCCGATGCTTTCTTTTGGGAGAAATCTTATAATTCCAAGGCGTTTCCCTCTTCCACCAGCCCCGGGAGCCTGCTAAAGAGGAGAAGGGATGTTCGCTTAGATAAATGTGATCACAAACTCTCTCTTTTTTTTTAACAGGATGGGTTGGGGTCCATTTTTATATTTCCCCTTTTCTGCTTCTTCAGCTGTGGTTAATGGCTCTTGTCTTGCCCCCACCCCTGCCACCGTTGGTGCTTCTGGGCAAGAGACGACTTGGATGGCCCGGATCCCTGGCAAAGTTGTGGTGATCCCCAAATGGCCCCTGAGTCTTCCTGGGGGACCCCTTCCTTCTCCCACCAGCTCGGAGTCCAGACAGCACTGCTGTAATGTTCCATTCACCCACTGGGGGGCGCTTGAGGCTGGGCAGCTAGCCGTCTGTGTTGGCATTTGTGACTTGGGAAGGCAGGGACCCTCTCCCCGTCCCTGTGTGTGTGTGTGTGTGTGTGTGTGTGCGTGTGTGTGTGTGTGTGTGTGTCTCCCGTGTCCGTATCCTCAGCCCATCCTTCCAGAGGCAGAAAACCAAGGAGGGAAGAAGGGGCAGAGCTGGGCCTTCGGTTCCTGGCCATATTGGAGTGACTTCACTAAAGCAGCCCCAAATAAAAAGGCTTCTCAGGTGCAGGGGGATTAAGGAGAGTTAAGGGAAATGAGGAGGTTATGCTCCGTGGCACACCTAAAGGTGTTGACCTAATCAGCTCATCGGAGGGAAGGAATATTCCTTCTTCCATTCTTACTATACGTCTCGTCATTTGCAAGTTGAGGCAGGAAGACGGGAAGGTGGATGGAAGAAGGGAAAGCGATGGGCTGAGGGAAAGGTGATCTTTGGAGGGGCTCCCTCGCCCACTGCAGATGCCATCACAGGCCGAGCTCTCGACTTTGCAAAAATTTTACTTCTTGGATCCCTGTCAGTCTCTTCCTGAATTTCGCACTCCCCTCCCTTCTTCCCCAAACAAGGCAGGTTTGTTTTGTTGTGCCCTCAACCCTGTCTTTCCTTGCACCCAAAGGATGGAATGTCTCCCTCTCGGGTAGTAGCAGCCTCCCAATCCAAGTTAACTTCTGGCTCCTGGTTGGTTTGCCAGAGGAGAAGCCAGCTGGAGAACTGAAGGGCTGTGGTGGGCCTCTGAGTTGGGTTCCCAGCAGCCTCTTCCGATACGGCCGGGGCTTGAGGAGGCGAAGGCTGGTCCAGTTCAGGGCCTGGTTGAGGTGCTTGCGGGAGGCTGAGTGGAAAGGGGAGTCTTGCGCTCTGCTTCTCTGGGGCGTCCCTTGATGGTGTCTCCACGCTTGGTTGGACGTGTTTTCTGTTGATCTTCCTTCCCTGACTCTGCCTCCAAAGCCTTGCGGGGATGATTGGGTGATGATCAAGGCCTTGGCCGGAGGCCATACGTGAAATGGAGGTCCCAATCTTTCCGATGATGCTTTTTCCTTGCTTTCTTTCTCCACTCCTGACACTGGACGGCTCCTTCCCCCTTGTGCAATACTAACAGTCCGTTTCTGGCTCTTGCAGCTGCCCAGGATCTGATGGAGGCGCCAGGCAGCGCCCTCCCTTCCATGTGGCAGCCAGGCACCCACAAGGCCTCCTGCTCTTCCTGCGCCCAGGGGGGGCCCTCCGAGAACGGCCTGTTGAATGGCTGCAACCACGAAAGGTGAAGGAGGCAAGGCTGCCGCGGGGCGGGGCGGGGCGGGGGGGGATCCTGGGACTGGAGGGGGCCAAAAGGAGGGTCTGCTGGCCCCATGGGGCTTGCAGCGTCACCTTTCCCTGCACCGAGGACAGTGCGCCCCTCCTACCCACATTGGGCAGCCTGGTGGCCTTCTGCTTTGGGGGGAGCGAGATAAAGAGTGGCAGGAGGGCAAACCCTGAACAGGCCTGGCAGGATTGAGGCCCAGCCCTGAGGGGGGAGGAGTGTGGGTCACTGCGAGAATATCATCGGCCTTTATGGGACGCCTCTTTAAAAAGTGGGGGGATGGGGAGTGGGAGAGAACAAGCAGCCCCATCCTTGCTTGCTCTTCAGTTCGGCCTCCAGGGAGCAGGCTGAAGGAAGGGCACTCGGCCCCCTCCCCTCTCTCTTTGCAGAGCCCCCCTGAAGCTGCTGTGTGACAACATGAAGTACCAAATTGTCTCTCGGGCATTTTATGGCTGTGAGTATTTCCCACGACCAGATCTTTCAAGGCCGAGCCGGGATCTCGTTCCGGATCCCAGAGTCCTGAAAATGCAGCTCTGGGTCCACTGGGGAGCGTTCAGCATCCACGTCTTCGCCCCATCCTTTGTGGCGATCAACTGGGGTCTCTAGGCGGGAGCTGCTTACATTTGGGGGGGGGAGGGGAGAGCATCTCTTGCTCCTTCTGGCCTCCTCTCTTCCAGGGCTGGCCTACTGCCGGCACCTTTCGACCGTCCGGACGCACCTCTCGGCGCTGGTCAACCACGACATTGTGTCTCCCGAGGTGCCCTGCGATGCCGGCTCGGGGCTGACGGCGGAGATCTGGGGGCGTTTTCTCCAGGACAGCACGGTAGAAGGGAGCCTCCTTCGGACCCCCCCTCCCTCCCTCCCCCACCCCGTGTCCCCTCCCAGCGCATTTCAATGGTATTTTCTCGGCAGAGCTACCAGGAGAAGGAGCTCCTTCGGCTGGTCTACTTCGGAGGAGTCCAGCCTAAGATTCGGAAGTCCGTCTGGCCCTTCCTGCTGGGCCATTATCAGTTTGGGATGCCGGAAGCCGAGAGGAAAGAGGTGAGCCGGGTCCAAAACATTTGCGGTTCCGAGTTGTGTGCTAAGATTCCGTGGAAGGGCTTCCAAACGGAATCTCCTTTTGTTGAACCTGGTTTGGTTCCCCTTTGGGGGCTCCTGCCGTGCTATCCCCTGTCTCTCTGGCCGGCAGGTGGACCTGCAGACCCGCGCCCACTACGAGCAAACCATGGCTGAGTGGCTGGGCTGCGAGGCCATCGTCCGGCAGCGGGAGAAGGAGTCGCACGCCGCGGCCTTGGCCAAGTGCTCCTCGGGGGCCAGCCTGGAGTCCCAGGTGGGGTCCCTGAGGCACCGCGACTCCACCATCAGCGACAGCGTGAGCATCTCCGAGGGCGCCCCAGAGGTTGCCGGCAAAAAAGTTTCCTTTAAGTCACTGAGTGCAACGGGCAGGTTTGGTCTGGGCACCGTCCGTCTCCCTCCCTGCCCACCTTTGGAAATGGGCCAGGCCAGAAAGGGGGGTTGTTCCTGCTTGAGTCTTCCCTCTGTCCACGTGGAAGAGTCCGTGGACACTCCAGCCGACTGACGCTGCCTCTTCCCTCCCTCCCTCCCTCCTTCACAGTCTTCCCAGAGCAGCAGTTTTGGCCCTCAGAACCTCAGCCGGCTGCAGAGCGACTCCAGCGGCAGCACCCAGGTGAGGAAGGGTCCCCTGCCGACCCCACCAGCCAGCCCAGACCTCCCTTCACCGAGGGGCCAGGTGGCAGCAGGGTGGTTTGTGGGCATCTGCTCTCTTTCTCCAGGTATTTGAATCGGTGGAGGAGCTGGAGCAGACGGAAGCGGAGTTGAAGCTGGAGGCCGGCAGGCGGGCGGCTCTGCCCGACGGGGGGCTCCCCGAGGTCGGCTCCTGCTCCCCCGACTCCGGCCACCCTTCCTCCCAGAACTTCTCCGTCGCCTCGGCCTACTCGGAGCAGAGCTTTAGCAATGAGGAGGGCTGGCCGGAGGGAGGGAAAGGGGGGGCCGCCCAGACCATCGGGGAAGGGCCCCCGCCTGCCACGGAAAGTGGCCCCCTGGATGGCAAGGGGGAGGCGGAAGGGCCCCAGGGGGGAGTCTCTGCGGCCAGGAGCCTGGACACCTTCATCGGGATGGGCAAGGAACCGCCCGGGAAAGAGGGGAGGGCCCTCTCCGTGGCTGACCGCTGGGCCCCGCCCAGCACAGAGCAGCAGCCGAGTTCCATGGGGAGTGAAGACGACCTCTCGGAAGAGCCCGAGATGGAGAGCCTCTACCCAACTCTGGATTCGCACTCGCTGGCTGTCACCGACCTCACCTTGAGCGAAGTCTCCCCTGTCTCCTCCTCGGGGGTGACCTACTCGGTGAGCTTCCCCTTCCCGCTCCGCTCTTCTTCTTTGGGCATTTTCCACCCTCCTGAAGTGTTGGCCCCAATTGTGGCCGTAAGTCAAGGACCCCCCCTGTATTTCGGTGGGGCTTGCGAGGACCGTAGCCCTCCTGGTGGAAATGGGACCGGAAGCCGTGTCCCGGGGGTGGGGTGGGGTCCTCCCCGACCTTCGCCAGGGGTGGCAATTCTGCGCTCGCTTCAACCCCCGTCTCTCGTCCGCAGCCGGAGCTCCTGGACCTCTACACGGTCAACCTGCACCGGATCGAGAAGGACGTGCAGAGGTGTGACCGGAACTATTGGTACTTCTCCCCGGGCAACCTGGAGAAGCTGCGCAACGTCATGTGCAGGTGGGGGTCCCGACTCCTCCCTGGGGGAGGCTGCTCTCTGCCTCCCTCCCTTCCCCCCTGCTGAAGCCCTGGCCCTCCCCTGGCTGACCTCTGGGCGGCTACTCACTCCGTCTCCCTCCTCCCCGCAGCTACATCTGGCACCACATGGACGTGGGCTACGTCCAGGGCATGTGTGACTTGCTGGCTCCTCTGCTTGTCATCCTGGATGAGGGTGAGTGGCTTTGTGCCCCTGGGCGGCCTGGGGGTGGCAGAGGCCCACTTGCAGTGCCTGAGACCCCTGGGGGGGCCTTGAGGGGCTCTGTCAACAGCCTCCCTTCGACGGCAGTAGGAGAAACGGCCGGAAAGACTTGGGGCCTTTGGGTCAGGGAGAGGGGAGCCTCGCTTCTGGGGCCCGCAAGCTGTGGTCTAAGGGGAGAAGGCGACCCCTCTGGCCCCTGTGTGGCTGCAGATGGGGCTGGGGGCTGTGGGGCAGCAGCGGGAGGGGGGTCCTGGATGTGGCTCCTTTCCGCTCCTTCGGCAGAAGCTCTGGCCTTCAGCTGCTTCACGGAGCTGATGAAGAGGATGAATCAGAACTTCCCCCACGGGGGAGCCATGGACACCCACTTCGCCAACATGCGCTCCCTCATCCAGGTACGGGGGGGGGGGCAGCTGGCCATTCCTCACGCCGGGTCTCTTGTGGCCTGCCTGGCCTGGTTTTCAGGGGCGGGGGGGCTGTTCATCTCAAACAGGCAGACATTCAACAGGAAAGGCTTTCTGGTGAGAAGGGGGAGAGGAGAGAAGGGGCTTCAGTTCCAGCAGGACATCCCACTGGGGGAGACTGTGGGGAAGGGGCCGAACTGGATAGTTCTTGGAAGGAGCAGGGGGAAAGGAGGGGCTGTGGCCCGGCTCTCCTCTCCCCCAGACCCAAATGTGCTTTTCTGGCAGATTCTGGACTCGGAGCTCTTTGAACTGATGCACCAAAACGGGGATTACACCCATTTCTACTTCTGCTATCGCTGGTTCCTCTTGGATTTCAAGCGAGGTGAGCGTGCCAGGAGTGGGCACGAAGATCCGTTGGGGGCCGTTCGGGAGAGGAGGGTGGGAGGGGGCCCAGGGGGGCTGGCTGGCCGTTGGGGAGCACGCTCAGCAGGAGGGTCCTTTGCTTGGCACAGCTCATCCCGCGGGCCCAGTTGTTCTGACTATGGGGCTCTGTGTGGTCTGGGTGTGTGGTGAATCCCTGGTGGGACAGGGAGCGGGGGCTTCTGGGGGCCCGTGGGGGGGCCTGACAGCCCCCACGGCTTCTGCTCCGACCCCCTCCCAGAGCTGGTCTACGAGGATGTCTTCACTGTCTGGGAGACGATCTGGGCGGCGACCGAGGTCTCATCGTCCTGCTACGTCCTCTTCATCGCCCTGGCCCTGGTGGAGGTGTATCGGGACATCATCCTGGAGAACAATATGGACTTCACAGACATCATCAAGTTCTTCAACGGTACGAGCCTCGGGGGCTGCAGAGCCCCATGGAGGAAGCCTTCTCGCCTCCCCTGGAGTCCCCAAAGCAGCCCCGCTTGAGGGGCTTCCTGGCTTGGGGTCTGCTCTTTGCGGAGGGCCCTCGCTTATCGGGAGACCCTCTACCTGTCAGCAGGGAGACGTCCCAGTTTGGCGTTGTTGGGCTGGGACCTGGCAGGAACTGCCTGCTTTCATCTGCTGCCAAAGCGGGTGCAGTCTAAGGCAGGAGCCTCCAAACGTTTAAGACTTGTGGACTTCAACTCCCAGAATTCCCCAGCCAGCCATGCTTTTCTTTGGAGACCCTTGGTCTAAGGTTTCCTCTGCTCTTTTCCTCCTGCTTCTCCCTTCCAGAAATGGCTGAGCGGCACAACACCAAGCAGATCCTGCAGCTGGCACGGGAACTGGTCTCCAAGGTCCAGACACTCATTGAGAACAAATGATTTGGGAAGCCCTCCGAGGAGGACGGCCGCCCCCGCCTGCCTGGCTGAAGGTGGCCATGGAGACAGGATGCAAGGGGTCCCTGGGGTCCCACCCCCTGGAATGGCAGCAGAGGAAAGCCTGGCCTCGCCAGTCTGCCGGGGAGCCGATTCTGACACCAAAGAACTCAGCCCCTCCCTCTCCTGTCTTGGTCAGGTGGGGGAGGCATTTGACCTGGCACAAAGCTGGTTTCGAAGGGGGGGGGGCTTTGGAGAAGATGGCAGGAACTGGCCATTCCTTCATTTCCCTTCAGATCTTCCTGCCGTGCATGTGAGTTGGGGGCGTGGGACTTTCCCCCCAGATCCTGTCCCACCCCGGTGGAGGGCCCAGGGGGGCTGGCTCTTCCCCTATTCGGTCTTGGAATAGACCTTCTCTGCCTTCAGGATTGGGCTGCTATTTGGGGCCATCCCTGCCCTGGAGCTTTTCTGCTGGTTCCCCCGGCCTTTGTGCCGAATTCCTGCTGCCATATTGACTGATGGATTTCTGCTTTCGTGAAAATGGACTTGGCTCCTTGCGCTGGTCTGGCAGGTTCCTGCGTCGTTTCCTTCTGCTTGGGGCTTGGAGCCGCTCGTCCTCCCCTGCTCTCAGGGAGACCTTCTGCCCTGGCTCCCTGTTTTCTGACAGAGCACCAGAGGGAAGCGTTTCTCCGGCCCAAGTGGCTCCATCTTTTCAGTCTGTGGCTGCCGTGGGATCGTGTCCATCAGCGCCCCCCACTCATTCTTCTCTAAGGCCTCCCTTCTGAGCAACCTCTGGAAGCAAGGCCTTGTGTGGGCCCTGGTGAAGGGGGCAGCCCACTTGGTCCTGCCGGAGCCCTGCCTCTGCCTTGTCTTCCTGGCCAGCTCCAGAGTCACCAGTCAGCAGGGACCTTGGCTTCTTGGGAAGGGAGGAAGGGTTGACGGTTTGGTTTCTTTAAACTCAGGTGTTTCTCAAGAGGAGCAAAATGGGGCTTTGTTGCCTATCAAAATCTGCCAGAAAAAAAGCATCCCCGTTTGAGCTAAGCAAGTACCTATGTTTTAGCTGCGAAAATGGTTTCCTGCAAGCCAGAAGATGTTTAGCCATAGCCGTTCCCCTTCCTTCCTTCCTTCCTTCCTTCCTTCCTTCCTTCCTTCCTTCCTTCCTTCCTTCCTTCCTTCCTTCCTTCCTTCCTTCCTCCCTTCCTTCTGAAGGACCCGTCTCCTGAACAGTGCTGCAGTTCCTCTGTGGGCTTCTAATCTTCCCATTCCACTTTGGAGAGGGAAAAGTAACACAAAGAGTAACTCTTAAGAGCTTCTGTTCTTCTCTGTTAGCTTGCGTGCATATGTGTTTGTGCATTTCTGGTACATATATGTGTGTGCGTATATTTAACATTGTCTGTTGAACCTAAGCAGAACATTTAGCCAGTCTTGGCACCTTCTTTGCAGGAGATTTGCTGGACTTCAGAGGAAGGGAGGGCAGGTCTGCAATTATTGTTCATTTCCAGCTGCTATTTCTATAGTCGCTTCAAACATTTAAGTGGGCTTCCTTCTGCAAATCCCAGGGAAATTTAGTTCAGGAAATGGAAGTGGCTGACTTCCAAATTGTATAGCCCAAGGAGGAAGTACACTTTGCAGAAATAGCATCGTAGGTAAATATCTTTTAGTTGAGGAGGAAGATGATGATGTTGGGGGGGTGGAGGAGGCAAATTAGACTCCCTTTGCACTTCCACAAGCTTTCTCAGTAAAATACTTGTTGTTTCTTGTGGTCCTGAGAACAGCAAGGCCGTCTTGGTGAGGGGGTGCAGCCTGGGTGCTCTTGTTGGTGAAAACACAAGGAAACGCCTGCCTTGGCCACCTGGTCCATTCTTGGCCACCTTTTCGCTCTCTCATTCTCCCCACCCCACTTTACAGAAAAGGGAGCATTTAGACGCCAAGATTTCTGGATTTTTGAAACCAACTCATCTTTTAAAATGCTTTCTCTGGGCTTTTTCTCTGGGCTATAGTTGGGCAAACTAGAATTTTGGATAATCAGTTGGATGTCCAAAAGATACAGTATGTGTGTGAGAGTGTATGTGTGCAAATGTGCATTTTAATTGTGCTGGGCTATCGCATTTTGGATATTGCTCTAGTGATCCTTCTTTCTTAAAAGCACAATCCTGAGTGAGTGATCTTGTTGCTTTTGAACAAGAAAACTAAGCCAGATCTCTTTCATAAACGCCTGGGTAGGCACCCCCTGGTCGATGGGGATGGGGGCATTTCAGGCTGGGTGTGATGATGCCACAGTCGAGACCAGCAGTGACTCTTGGGTGACCCCCCCCCTTCCCAAGCTGTAGGGCAGCAGCTGAACTGTTTATAAAGAGCCACCAGCAGAGTTCCTAGCAGGGGAGCAGCCCAGATTTTTTTCCTCCAGCCTTCACTTGGGGTGCCTGTCCTGTCCAGAGAATGTTCAGTACAGTTGAGCATCTCCCAGGGAGGCTGTGTTGGGCAACGCAGCTCAGGCCCCTGGGAGTGACTCTTGTAGGACTGTGGGAAGCACTTCTTCTTTCATTACAAAAGCCAGCCGAGGAATTGTGCCTGGTCCTTGCTGCCGTTGAAGCCAGAGAGCGGATTATGACTCTTGGAGAGCAGGACCCGCCCGTGTGCGCATATGGGGGAAACAGTTACAAATGCAAGGGAGACATTATGTATATGTGTTTATGAATTCTGTGTGTCCTGAGGTCTGTGTGCATGAATTCCTATGCAAACAGAGATGTATTTTTTGTCGCCGTCTCAAAATGTATCTTGTAAACATTTTAGCAGGAAATTGTCTTGTATATAGCTATATATTATACAGATAACTAGCTCATGCATATATATGTGTGAGCAAGTGTGTATACACGTGCATACACACACACATGCATGCGTAAAAAGAGGCCTGGATTAAGCAGGGCAGTGCAAGAGCTTTGTGTGATCTTGAGGACTTTCCTCCCTCCAGTGTGTGTGTGTTGAGGGGACATTTTTCTCTTTCGCTTCGCTGTCTGCAAAAGGAAGTGATTTGAGGAAAGCTTTATCAGCTTATAACATTACTGTTTATTTATAACCGAAGTGATGTGCTGCTTCCCATAAAATATCGGGGAACTATAAGTTACCTTTGGCCAGAGCATCCGTGTCATGAGGAGGCAGAGTCCATGTTCGAAGCAGCCTTTTCACCCCGAGATAAGCAGCCTTCTGCCAGGCTCAGCAGGAAGAATGGGCCGCTCCCTTTCCCAGCTGCCCTGAAAGGCTTATTCAGTGGGCAATGATAGTTTCACTCCCAGGGAGAGGGATGGGTGCCCGCCCCAGGTGTCCAGTAATTCTTCTGGCCTGGGAGGGGGGGCTGCGTGCTTGAGTTGCAGGGCAGGGGGGGAGGCGAGCCCCTCTTTCAGACAGGGATTGTCCTGGCTCAGCCTGGTGATCGCTGACCCCCTTTTGCTGTGTTTGTCTTAAAACTAATCCAGACTTTTCTGCCCTCCCCAGAAGGGGGCCCATCCAGCATGGGGGATTTGTGTACTAATAATAGTTTTCTGTGGGGTAAAAATCCAGGCACCCTTTGAAAAGTTCCCAGCCTTCTCTGCTTTGAAACTTGCTTCTGCAGCCCCCAGTGATGCCAGGAGGTTTTCAGAGAAAGATGTGTAGCAACTGCTGCCCAACACACAAATCTGCTGCTGCTTGTATGTGTGGTGTGTGTGTGTGTTGTGTATGTTGGGCTTATTTCATCCCTTCAGGAAGTGCCTCCTGGCATCGTAGTTTCTCTGGTTCGTGTTTTGTCGGGTTTTAAAAACAAATGCTGCTGATTTATTATTTTTTTAAAATGTTTGAATTTTGCCCTTGTTCCGTTGTTGTCATTGACTCAATCATGCTTTGGAATTTTGTTAATTCTGACTGTAATTTGTGTCTGTGGGGCCAGAAAGAAAAACAAAGAGAAAGTTATATATTGCCTATGGTTCTATGTATTTTCAGATGCACAGTAAAAGAGGAAAAAGCACCGGAGTTGTGTGTTTCGCAGGTCTCTGAGCCGCGACCCCGAGAGGGGATGCCCGGGGCGGGGCGGGGCTCTCTGGCCTCTAGTTCCGTGCAGTTCAGCAGGACCGAACGTGGGAACCCGGCCTGCAAGGGCATCAAATGCGTGTCCAGAGTTACTTCTGCGCGGAACCCTCGTTTCCCAGGGGGAAAACGTCTCTTTGCGAGGGGGGCCCGTAGGGAGCTGGGCAGAGCTTCCAGGACCGGCTCGTCTCTCAGCCGCGCCGCCCGCGGGCTTCTGGGAGTTGTAGTTCCACCTTGGGGGAGAGCAGCGCTGGGGCCCCGGGAGGGCTCCGGATGGGGGGCAGCCTCCTCTCTCTCTCCGCGGGGGCGGCTCCAGGCCCACCGTCGGGGCGGTGCTGTGGGGACCCGCTCCGGGCTGGACTGCGGAGGGCCACCGGAGGGCGGGCGGGCGGGGAGGGGAGGGGCCGGCTGGGCGTCCCTCTTAATGCGAAGCTCCGCCCCGCGCGGCTCCGCCCCGCCCGCTCGGGACGTGGGGTCGCCATGGCGACGGAGCTGCTTGCCTCGCGCAAGCTTCGGGCCGACGAGCAGGTTAGGTTGCGCAGGCCCCGCTGAGGCGGAGGCCACGCCCCCTCGTGGCGCTCTCGGCTGCACCGCGGAGAGAAGGGCGCGATTGGAGGCGCGGGAGGCTGGTGGCCGACCCAGGTGAGGACTGCGGCCCGGTGGGGTGGCGCGGCGTGTGCCTTGCAGGACCCCTCCCCACCCGTGACCCCCCCAGCCCCGCCCCCCGGGAGGAACCGAGGTCCTGCGGGGTCTCTGCCCCCCCCGAGCCTGGCAGGTGGTGGCCGGGGAGCATGGGCGTTGTTGTCCCCGCAGTCGGGGCCCAGCGCGGCTTGGTCCCCTTCCTGGCCCGGGGGATGGGGCTCCGGGGTAGGGAGCAGCCCGGCGGGAGAAGAGGAGTCCGGGCTGTGTTAGGGGAGGGCCGGGGGTCTCTCTGGGCTGCTCGCCCT